CCCTCTGGTCCCCAGGCCTTTAGAAGTCACCTGTGCTCTAGTATCTACTTCATGAGGTGGGGGGGGGGGGAGGCTCAGGGTGGGAAAGTGTCCTTCTCAGGGTCCCAAAGGCTTCGTGGTGGTGCAACATTGGAATCCAGCTCTACAAATGCTGGCTCCTGGTGGCTCAACTCTTGTCTGACATTAGTGTTGCAAGTTAGGAGCGTACACCTTCACCCCACCCAACAAGGTTTCTTTGGGCTGTGATGTCCATGAAAGGCCCTGTATCAAACACCACTATTCTACTCACCCCTATCCAAAGGGTCTGAAGATTAATCCCAGATTCTTAATCAATCTGGGGTGGAAAGCAAAACCGATTTCACCCCAAACCCCTGACACACTGAATGTACAGATCCCATTGCCTGGAGGGAGCCGAGCTCTATAGGCAAGATGAAATCTAAAATTAGAGTCGAACTGTGGAATTTCAATTGCAGGCCCCAGAATACAGCCTGCTACTCCACAGACCAGGAATAGCACAGTGTGATGGTGCCAGACAAGAGAAGAAAGGACATTTTGCAAGCCACAGCCAGGGCCACAGTGGACTCAGGGCAAGAACGTGAAGGGTGGGGCCAGCATTCACCCAAGGGTCTGTGCTGTGATCAAAGCTTCAGGCAGCAGACACACAAGGACCTGGCTGGGGTACAGCAGGGACTCCGCCAAGGGATGTGACCTCTGTCAAACTGCCCTTTGTCTTTCAGAGCCTCAGTTTCCAAAAAGCAAAGCAACGATGCTCCCCAGGGAAGTAGCCAGGCTTTGTGGAGTCCGGCACACACCGCTGGGGATGGAGGAAAGAGCAGTAAGGGGTTGGGTGACCCTCTTTGGAGTTTTTAAAATTACATTTGTTTATCTGTTTGTGCCTGGGATAAACATGGAGGTCAGAGGACAGCTTACAGGAATGAATCCATTTTCTCCTTCTACCAAGTGGGCCCTAGGGATCAAATTCTGGTTATCAGGCTTGGCAGCTAGCACCTTTACTGATGAGCCATCTCCCGGCCTGGGGTGAGACTCCTTAGGAAAGGAGAAAACAAAACAAAACCAGGAGCTGGGAAGATGACTCAGTCAGTGAAGTGTTTGCTGTGTAAATAAGAGGTCTTGATTTGGACCCCCAGGACCCACAGAAGAGCCAGGCCCAGCTGCACATGGATGTAACCCCACTCTTGGGAGCGGGGTGTGGGAGACAGAGACCTGTGGGATGCTGGAGCTCAATGACCAGCCGGATTTGCTGAGCTCCAGGGTCAAAATACCACAAGGTGGAACCAGGTGTGGCAGTGCAGGTCTATAACCCCAGCATTGGGAGGCAGAGGCAGGTGGATCTCTGTGAGCTGAAGGCCAGCCTGGTCTACAGAGTTCCAGGACCGTCAGGGTTCCATAGTGTCTCAAAAAAAAAAAATGGAGAATGGTTGATGAAAACATCTCCAATCCACCTTTTCCTTCCACAGGTACACACCATGCTTACATACATACAACACACAGACACACCACAGATCCACACGGGACCTGGTAAGGGACCGGCCCTTCAGAATCTGTTTCCAGTGTTCCTGTTACCCGTGAGGTGTCTTAAATTACGTTAAGTTGCACCGTTGGCACATAGTAAGGCCTCAGTCGGTGCTGCTTTCTGGGGCTGAGACCATGGTGGGGAGATGGGTCCGGCCTGAGAACAATGCTGTAATTTGTAGAGGGAGGAGAGTTGGCTGCTTCATCTGCACCAAGCAGAGATAATGACAGAGAATGGAATCCCAAGAAACTCCTTAGACGGTCCTCAGTCCCCAGAGCTCTAATCTGAAAGCCACATGTAACCTTAAGCAAATCACACCCCATCCCTGAGCCAAGGCCTGCCCAGGAAAACGTTCCTGGGGATCATGCAGCATTTGGCTCTTCTCATCTCCAAGGAAGCTCTGTCCTTTCATGGAGTCTCCTGAAAGCAAAAAAGCCTCTTCAGGGATTCTCGCCCTATGGGTCGCATATCAGATAGTTACACTGTGATTCATGACAGCGGTAAAATTACCACAGTTATGAAGTAGCAACAGCATGATTTTATGGTTGCGGGGTCATCACAACGTGAGGAACTGTATCAAGAGTCGCAGCATAGGAAGTTGTGAACCACAGCTCTAGGTGAGGGGCTGTTGTCTCTCCTGTCTTAGCGCAGACAGCTGACTGGCGGGACATTTGAAGCCTGCCTTGAGATGGGACACACGGGGTGGCAGTGTACAAGTCTGTAATCCCAGCACTGGGGAAGTAGAGGCAAAGGGGTCAAAAGTTCAAAGTGATCCTTGGCTACCTGGTAAGGGAGGCCACTCCAGCTACAGGGACCCTGTCTCACAAAAAAAGCAGCTGTACCGTCGTTGTGGTCTCCTTTCCTGGGATTGGGCAATACCAACACAGCTCACAACTCCCTCCCCGAATCCCGCCTTTCTCTCCTACCCAGTTTCTTCAGGCAAGAGGAGGCGGGGCACCCAGGCAGGTGGGCGTGGTCTCATTCCAGCCCAGCCAGAGCAAGCTCTGAGGCCAGATCCACTGAGCCCAGCTTGCACCTGCATCCACACCTCCCCAACTGCCCCTTCTCTATCCTGAGCTTGCCCTTTCTGAAGCTATCATGTCTGCGACCAAGAGTGCTGGGGATCCCCAGGTAGCCACCACTATCAAGCTGGACCTCGTGTCGTCACCTGAGAGTACCAAGAAGGTGCAGAGCCAGGATCCTAGTCTCGGGAATGGGAGCGCCTCAGAGTCATCGAAGAAGACCAAAGGCATAACGTGAGTGCCGCTCCCTGCCACCCCATATCTGCTCCCATCAGCTTCCAGCCTGGACCTCGAGGTGGGTGTGTCTGACCCTCAACTGTACTGTGCCACCAGGAACACTAAAGAGGAAAAAGTGGCAACCACGGGCTGTGTCAAATAGGAAATTCTAGCTGAGGCCAGGTTTAGAATTTGAAAAGCCCTGAGAGGGAAACTGAGGCTCAATGGCTTTAAGCCACGTGCTAAGGTTTACGGACAGAGACGAGGCTAGAATATAGTGCTATTTGGGGCTTTTGATGTCTAAGAAGGGAGGCAGAACTTGGAAGGAAGTTGGGATCAGCACATAAGACCACAGTGTCCTCACCAACCCACAAGCAAGCCTCTCCCTGCAGCAAGCCTGGCCTTTGCTGCCACTAAGGTTGCAATGGTACTGCTCAAAGAAGAACATGTAGAAGATTCTAGCTAGCTTCTTCCAGTTCCTGAAAGATGGAGTCTGGAGCAGGGGACATTGGCAAAGGTTTTCAGAACATGACTAGCTACAGGGCTCCGGCATTTTCTCTCTCCTTTAACTTCACCAATACAGCAGTCCAGCTAGTTCAGGCTCACTCTGTAAGAGGCCAGTTTGACACCATCCATGTAGTACGGCACTTCACGGAGGACCAGAAGGACTGGGTCCGGGTGGAAGCCTGCCCTTCTCTCGTACAAATCATCTTTCCTCATATGTAAAGCAGGGAGGAGCAGGTATGACCCAGGACATTAAAGGAGTGTATGTGCGTGTGTAAACTGAAGGTGAATGTGGAGGAGGAGAACGTGTGGCAGAGGGGGAGAAGGTGCTTAAGGGATAGACTCAGTCTCTCCACACCACCCACAAGACACGGCAGAAATGGACTCAATGGTTGCTGGCAGGATGGCGTGGATCCTTTGTCTCTGTAACTGGTCCTGGGCCTTCTACGTGCTAGAGATCATTAGAGCAAGCTGTCAAGGCCCGTGGGTCACCTGCAGAAGAGCAGGGGTATTTCTCAACTTTTGAGAACCAGCTGACTCTCATCTGTGTCCTGGGTGGTTGAGGTGGCAATTTCAGTTACTTAAAACTCGAGAGAGAGAGAATAAAGCAAGCACTAGCCAGAGAGGACCTGTGGGGATTGGAGACAGGTCACATAGGCTGGGTAGGCATGCAGGTGATGGAGTCTGGCCTCCTGGGTTCAGTCCCCACTTACCAGCTGGAGAAAGTGATAGAGTCTATAAACCATGGCTTGCTCCTCCCAGGATGGCTGCGCCTTCAATGTGAGCATGAAGTCCCCACGCGTGGTACCTGTGTACTCTTAGCTGCTTAAAAATATCTCTGATGGTGGCTCCAGATCACCACAGGAGTCAGAGATGGAACCCAGGCCTCCTGGCTCCTGATCCAACACGTTGCATGGCTTAACACACTGCGAAGTGGCAGAACGGCTGCAAGCTAAATTCTGATTTCCTAAGTCCTCTAGTTAGAAATTTCCTAAGTGACCCGCTGACCCCTTCCCAGTTGCAAAACAAGCCCATCATGGGGGCCAGGGGGTATAGTTCTCTGTCAGCAATGTTGACACCCACAGGGAAAGGGAAAGGCATGCAGGGCTCTCCACCCCCTTTCTCCTCCAATTGTTCTTTAACTCCTACCAATCCATGGGGAGTTCTTCTGATGCTAGAGGACCTGGGGGTTAATGCAGAGACTGGGAGTTGGGTGAAGTCTTTCAGAATAGCTTTGTTCTTCTTAACATTTTCAGAGGCTCTCCGGAGTCAGACATGTGCTCCCACAAAATGACAGAGCTGGGTAAGTAGCGGCCTTGGGATGTAATCCTGGTTTGTGCGATTCCAAAACCCAGGCTCCTTCCAGGCTCCTGTCACTGGCTTAAGACGACCTGCTGGCTGCAAGGGCTTTTGGGGGAATTTCTAAGGCTTCTGAAGGATTAGATAAAAGCCAAGGACTCTGTTTCACAAGGTCAGGATACAGAGGCATCTAGAAGAACGCTGGGTTTGAAATTCACTGAGAGAGAAAGTCCCAACTTGGAATTTTTCTCCCCTAATGACCTTGTTCTCCAAATCAACTTCACATCTCTCTTAAAGAAATAGTAAAGCAGGGCTATGGACACAACTCAGTTGGTAGAGTTCCTGTGTAGAGGGCACGAGGCCCTGGGTTTGATCCCCAGTACTTCATGAAGTGGGCATGGTGGCACACACCTATGGCACTGGAGAGGTGGAGGATGGACAATCAGAAAGTCAAGGTCACCCATGGCTACATAGTGAGTTTAAGGTCAGCCTGTGCTACATGAGACTCTGTCTCGAGAGAGAGAGGAGGGGGAGAAATGGAGGAAGAGAAAGAGTGGAAGGAAGGGAAGGAAAGAAAGAAAAAGATAGAAGAAATCATGGGTGATTGCTAAGGGCACCTCTCAGTAGCAGAACACTTGCTTAACATATACAAGGCCCTGGTGTGATCCTGAACACCATAAGTAAGCAATAACAGAAAGAGTGGGAGTCCTTTGCTTTAGTTTGAGTTGTACTGGGTGAGGGGTCATGCCATTCCCCAGGCTTAATGTCCTGGACTAAGAAGAAAAAGAAAACCTCTCTGGAGATCAATCCTCAGATGACCCAGGTCCCCTGACCTATTACTGAGAAGTCACAGGGACCTGTATTTTTCCTATCTGCCTTTCTCCCATTCTTGGAGTGCAATCCTGTCTCTGCCACAACTTGGGAAGTCAGGTTGGTCTCTGGGCCTCAGTTTCCTCCGTGATGACTCTGGGCTGCCTTTCTTCCCTTGCCTTGGATCCGCCTCCCAGAGTTCAGCAACAGTGAAAGACGGCTGTGAAGCGGCTTGGCTTCCAGCCCCAGCTCCCCAGTGTAGCTGTGGACAAATCATTTAGGTACTTTTGTGCCTCCACTTCCTATCTGTAAACTAAAACCCCCATCAGTGCCTACTTTATTGTCTTGCCAAAAAGATCGAATAAGATGTTATATATAAACTTTTAGTACAGTATCTCATACAGTTAGTGCTTCGTGGCACAGAGTTGCTAATGCCAGGACAATTCTGGACAACTTGAGATGGGTAGTCACCTTCCAGGAGATCCACATGTGCCAAGCAAGGACATAGGAGCATCAAGGTGGCCATGAACTTACCTGCCCAGTTTAATTGAGGTGTTGACAGGCGATGAGGGAATGGTTTCTAGATTCTTTCCCTTCCCCACTTCCATGTCCTCTTACGTCCTTCTCCTCCTGCAGAGGGTTCCAGACATTGGTTCACCTGGTCAAAGGCAACATGGGCACGGGGATCCTGGGACTCCCCTTGGCTGTGAAGAATGCAGGCATCTTGGTAAGATATGTAAGGCGCGGGAGGAGACGGTAATGGGTTAAGAGAAGTGTTTCCTGGGATGGTAACTGAACCCAAAATGGACCTAGCTCAGTTCTGCCTTGGCCACATGTTCCCAGGGGTCCTTTTTATCCACTCTCAGGCCTCAGCTTCCTCTTTTATAGAATGTAAGGTTGGAGTTGGACCAGTTATCCAATCTGGCTTTACAGAGCCTACGTGTCCTTGAGGATACCTCAGAGGCCACTAAAGGGATATGTAGTCAAGACATTGGGTCCCCTACTCCCATCACAAACTTCATCATGATTGCTTCATGTACTTTTGGGGCATTACATAAGATTGCTTTTGGAAAGATTAGCAAAATGTCTTTCCACTCAGTTTTCTAGAAAGTTCTTTCAGAGCTAGCAAATGGTTCAGTAGATAAAGGCACTGGCAGCCATGTCCAAGGAACCGAGTTTGATCCCTGGGACCCACATGGTAGAAGGAGAGAGAAAGAACTCCAGACTTCTGACCTCTAACCTCTGCACGTACTGTGGCATGCTGGAGCCCACATCCCCAAATAGTAACAGAGAGAGAGAGAGAGAGAGAGAGAGAGAGAGAGAGAGAGAGAGAGAGAGACTCTTGAGTCCTCAGCAGTATTTGCCCTACTAAGTTGTCTTCTCTCCTGCCTTGCTCATGTCTGCCCTGCCTGCAGATGGGCCCGCTCAGTCTGCTGGTGATGGGCCTCATCGCCTGCCACTGTATGCACATCCTGGTCAGGTGTGCACAGCGCTTCTGTCACAGGTGAGTAATGTCCCATGTGTGGGTTCTCGGGGACATTCCCCCAAACATCTTACATTAGAAGAGCTTCCTTCTTCATGGTCCCCATGATTGCCAAGAAAAATAGCTTCAGGGTTGGGCAGACTTCAGGGGAGGTCGGGACACATGGCTGCTTAGGTGACCTCAGTCTGGCTTTTTTTTTTTTGTTTTAGCTTGTCTGGTCAGCCCACCTGTAGAGTGGGTATAAATAACCCTTGCCTGCTCCTGCCTCTAAGAGTAGAACCCAGTTCAGTGAGGGCCATGGGTCTAGGCACCACTACACCCATGCCAGGCCGTGTTGTTAACCACGCTGTGTGTCAGCTCCTCAGCTTACAGAGGAGAACAAGGCACAGTGGCATCACAACCAGACCTCACAGCGTCCATTAGAACCTGCTGTGTTGGCTCAATGTTCTCTCTACCTTTTATCTGTGAGGCTTTGGTCTGGATCTCTGGACTTTTTTTTTTTTTTAACCTGTGAGCTGTGGGCGGTGGAGGCATCCTTGAGTAGGTGTGTAAGGAGTGGAGGAAGCCCTGAGTGGATGTGTCATTTCAACATGAGGACAGCCATGTCGAGTTCCCCCAATGTCCCCAAAGCCTTCCCAAGGTGAGGCTCAAAGAGATAGCAAAACCTTCCTCTGCTCCAAATGGGCCTGTTGACAATGTGTGTAGCAACTGCCAAGCACAGCTTCCTCTTCTGGGATGACTGCAGCCTGAGGCTGCTCCCCTACAGGGACCGCCTACCCAGAGTAGGGAAACCTGCCTCCTGTACAGCTGTGCATGTGAAGCCTGGCTCCTCAGTTGCCTACGATACATGCTCTGGGTTTCTGGGCTGCTGTGGCTGATGCCACACATCCGAGTAAGCACAGCCCACTGGATCCCGGCTTTTCTGAACATGGCTCTGTCCTTTTCCCCCATCATCCCAGTTAGGTCAATCCCTGGAGCAGTGCAGAGCATGGTGGGAAGTGTATGCATGTATGCATGCAAGTGTACATGTGACACAGCACACAGGGGAGGTCAGAGGACAGTCTAGCTGTGAGTCCTGGCCTTCCACCTTGTTTGAGAAAAAAGGTCTCTTGTCTGCTGCTGCATATTCAAGGCTACACAGCCAACACAATGCCAGGGATTCAAGGATCCTCCTGTTCCTGCCTTTCATTCTGCAGGAATTACAGACCTGGCTTTTATGTGGTTTCTGGGATTTGAACTCAGGTCCTCCTGTTATATGGCATCTGCCCAGTTTGGCTTCTCATCTCCCCAAAGTCATAGATTCCTTTGTCTCTTACAATGTATGTGCTTTGTCCTACAGACTCAACAAGCCCTTCATGGACTATGGGGACACAGTGACGCATGGACTGGAAGCTAGTCCCAATGCCTGGCTGCAAAACCACGCCCACTGGGGGAGGTACCTTGTTCTCCCTTTGTTTACAATGGGTTAGGATATGGAAGGAGAAAACATACTGCCAGGGAATTTCTTCTTCCCTGCCAAGGTGGCTCCAAAGTCAGACTCTCCGCAGGGAGGAGGGTCACTGCCAACATCAGTTTTCCAGTTCTCGTGTAACTCTTGTGATAGGTGTTCATTTACCATACGTTCTTAGGAACCCCCCCCCCCTTATCACTGTAGACAGCACAGGGAAGGAAACAGGAAACAAGGCTTTGCTCTTTCACTACCCATGGTCCACTGGGAAGGGCAGCCGTCTATGGCTTGATTATGCAATCCACATGGGACACACATGAAAGAGGTTCTGGCTACTACCAAACGGGTAGAGGGTTACCGGGGACCGGGGGAAGAGGGGTGTGTCAGGGCCAGGGTGGCTTCACTGGAACGCTGAGATGGATGCTGCACCACGTAGCCTTGAAGGCTGAGGAGTTACTTAGGGCAGAGAAGGCCAGGCCTGAAGGGCCTTCTGGGAAGGGGGCAGAGCTGGGGTGCAGGCCACACGGGGATGTGACAGGTTCATGCTACAGAAAGTCCAGGTGGCATGAAGGCAGAGTCAGGGTGGGGAAACTGAGGAAGGTGCCCAGTCACATCGTCTGTATTATTTTTATTGATTTAATATGTAGTTAATCGCTTGGGGGGAGGGGTTTATGTCGAGGCCAGAAGACAGCCCAGGAGTCAGCTCTCTCCTCCTACCACGTGGGTCCCAAGGATCGAACTCAGGTCATTGGGTCTGGCGGTGAGCATCATTGTTTACTGAACCATCTCACTGGCCCACATTGTGTGTTCTAGACCCTCTCTAAGATTTTGTTATTTTTTTTAAAAAAAAACATTTATTTGTATTACTTTTAATTATATATGGGTGGGGTATGGCATATGAGTGCAAATGCCCCCAAAGGCCAGAAACATTGCATCCCTGGAGCTACAGTTACAGGTGGTTATGATGCAAGGGCTGGGAGCCGAACTCTGATCCTCTGCAAAAGCAGTCTATGCTCTTAACCACGGAGCCACCTTGTCAGCCCCTTTCTTAAGAAAGCAGAAAGCCAAGAGAGCTTTTCATGTTAAAGCATTCTTTAATGTACCTTCCTGAAAGGGCCATCGCGCTTCTGTGAGAGGAGATTGTTGAAATAGGAGCGGCGGCAGGGCTGCGTCCCCGGCACCCGGCCGCCCGCATGGCTAGCTTATACCCAGAAATAATTACACGGAAACTGTATTCTTTCAAACACTGCCTGGCCCGGCTAGGTCCAGTTTCTTATTGGCTAGCTCTTACATATTGTTCTAACCCATTTCTAATATTCTGTGTAGCCCATGAGCTGGCTTACCAGAGAGGATCTTAACCTGCATCTGTCTGGAGTGGGAGCATCATGGCGACTCTCACTCAGCTTCTTTTTCCCAGAATTCTCTTCTGTCTACTCCGCCTACCTAATTTTCTGTCCTATGAGGGCCGAGGCAGTTTCTTTATTAATAAGAAATCACTCCCACATCAGGAGATGATAAGGGAGCCAAGGGCAGACTTTCCAAGCCCTGGGGAGGTTTCAGAGCAGATGATGCCCACTCTGATGGTGACAACGGGAAATGAAGAAAGGTGTCTCAGCAAGAGGTTAGCTGAAAGCCAAGGAAAGAGTTGGGGCTGGGGGCATGGCTCATCAGCCAAAGCATTTGTTGTGCAAGCGTGAGGACCAGAGTTCAGACTTCCAGAACCCATGTGCATGCAGGTGGGGGTGGTGGGCCATCTACAGTTCCAGCCTCAGACAGAGGAGGCGGGATTCCCAAGAGCAGACTGGCTAGCAGGACTATTAGGGAGCTCTGGGTTTGATTGAGCAACCCTAACTCAATGAATTAGGTGGGAGAGCATCAGAGAATGATTCTGCTTCCACACCCATGCACACACGTGTGCCGCACATGTGAAACATGCATATACACATGTGCATGCATATTCATGCATGCACACACGGATGAATAAAAACAGGAAAGAGACAGATTGGCTCAAACTTCTACCCACTTCCGTTTTGGACAACCTGGGTCTGCGATGGCATTTGAGGGGAGACTGCACTGGTTAGAAATACCAGTCTTACAGAACTAAAGCCTGCAGTCACGAGGCCAGGGAGAGAAGAAGTCTTGAGGAAAGAATGGAAAACAAAAAGAACAGAAAGACCCAGATTTTAGGACACTTGGTTGCGCTGAGCAGTTCCTCCCTAAGGCCCAGCTGTTAGCTCTCAGGGGCGACATGTGTGTCAGCACATCTGTCCGTGCTGCCCGAATTTAAGTTCATGCCTCTGCTTCTGTCTTCAGGCCTATTCCACTCCATCTGCCGTCTGTTTGCTCAGCACCAACCAGTTGCTCCTCTTCTATTTGCAGACTCACTGGTGGGGACCCATTCTCGACACCTAATATGGCCATGTATCACTTCCTTACCAATAATGAAACTGATGAATCAATCTTTGTAGACTTCAGCGTGTCACAGAGCCACAATCTGAGCATTTGATATAGAGTTATCCACAGGATAGCTGCCAAATGTCTGCTGTCCTGGGGTTTCCACTGCTGCGACATTGCTGGGCTCCGGCTGGTCTCACTCCACGGTTACTGCTGTTCTTGGCGGTCATCCCATGGTACTGGCATCTCAAAAATGGGGGGTCTTCTGCTTCAGCCGGGCTGTATTTTCACCAACAGCCTCTCATAGGCTCTCCTCATGGTGCCAAGCCTCAGCTTCTTTGCAAGTCTTCTACATTACCAAGTCTGGCTGACATCACAAGGTACAGCCTTGGCTGCCTCCAGAACACAGCTTCTCTGTGCTCTCAGGAAACACTTCCCAGAAGATTCCACCAGGGATGCTGGTCTCCTCTTAATCACTGCTAATTTCTTAGCTCCTGCTGACCAGCATCAGTTGTCCCAGCGACATCAAGGTTTCACCTCAATAGTTCTGGGATCTTATTAAACACAGCTGATTCTTCAGCCCCAGCTAACCAGAACCATAGGATCTTAATTCCAAATAACAAATGGCCCTGATAGAGTCTTTGCGAGCCAGGCCTCCATCGCCTGCACTTCACTCAATATTCTTATCTTTCCAAGTTCCCACAGAACATCCCACTCTCAATGGCTCTTCTAGCCCAAAGTTCCAAAGTCTTTCCACAATCCTCCCCAAACATGGTCATGTCTGTCAAAGCAATACCACACAATAGGTACCAATTTGTCTTAGTTGGTGTTTCTATTGCTGGGACAAAACACCATAACCAGAAAGCAAGTTGGGGAGGAGAGAGCTTATTTGGCTTACACTTGGGCATTGCTGTTCAGCACTGAAGGAAATCAGGACAAGGACTCGACAGGACAGGATCTTAGAGGCAGGAGCTGATGCAGAGGCCATGGAGTATTGGCTTGCTTCCCCTGTCTTGCTCAGTCTACCTTCTTATAGAACCCAGGACCACCTGCCCAGGGATGGCTCCACCCACCATGGGCTGGGGCCTCCCCCATTGATCACTAAATGAGAAAATGCCTACAGCTGGGTCTCTTTGAGGCATTTCCTCAACTGAGGTTCCTTCTTTGGTGACTCTAGCTTGTGTCAAGTCGACACACAAGACCTCCAGTGTACCTGCAGAGGGTCAGGTGGTACTTTCAACATTACATCCACATTTTGAACCTGATGTGTACCATTGCTTGGGACTTGGCTGTCTGGCTTCATAAGACTGGGCCAAGGACTGGGGAGATGGCTCAGTGGATAGAAAGCTTGCCATATAAAAGCCAGAGAGGCATGGTAGCCCACCAGGGGTAGTATTTGAGAGGCATAGACAGGATCGCTGGGGGGAGCTGGTGTAACCAGATTAGAGGAATTACTGAATTTTAGGTTCAGTGACAAACCTTTCCTTGAAAATATAAAGTGGAAAGTGGTGGAGGAGGACACGTGACATCAACCTCTACCCTCACATACATACACAGTGCACACATACACAGAGTGAACACACATATACACAGTAAACAAGCATACGCAGTGCATACACACAGTGAACATGCATATACTCACACACATTGAACATGCTTGTACACACACAGTAAATATGCATACACACATTGATGTAACACATATTCTAATTGGTCTTAATAATAAAAAATCAAAGTCAGCTATCAGTGAAAGCTGAAGGACCAGAGAAGCAGAGTAGCCAGCCGCTAGAGCTCTTACCTCTACAAATGTTCAGACCAAAGGGGTGATCCTGTCCTCAGACTGCAGCCTCAGACTGCAATAATCAATCCCCTGTCTCCTCCTGCCTTATATTCCTCTCTCTGCCTAGCCGTATCACTTCTGCCTCCACTTCCCTAATGCTGGGATTAAAGGCGTGGGATCCCAAGAGCTGGGATCACCTTTGTGTGAGCTCTGTTTCTCTTTGAAACTGGATCAATCTCCTGTAGCCCAGGGTGGCTTTGAACTCACCGAGATCTGTCTGTCTTTGTCTCCCAAATCCTGGGATGGATTAAATGTGTGTGCCACCACTGCCTGGCCTCTAGTGGCTTAGCTCTGCACTCTGATCTTCAGGCAAGCACATGTAGTGCATGTAGTGCATGTGTGCTCATGCATGTGGAGGCCTGAGGTTGATGTCAGCATCATCCTCCATCACTCTTGCACTCCTTGGGGCAGGGTCTCTCAATCAAACCCAGAGCTTGCTGATACGGCTAATTTCATTAACCATCTTGCTATGGAGATCCCATCTCCATCTTTCAAGGCTGGAAGACCAACATGCACACCTGGCATTCATGTGGATTCTGGGGATCTGGACCGCACTTTGACTACTAAGCCATCTCTCCAGCGCTCTCTCTCTTTCTCTCTTTCTCTCCCCTCCCCATTATCTCCCTTTAGGATTAAAGATAACCATATTAAGGGAATGAAGACAGATTAGGGATAAATTATTGAAATTTGTACATTTATTTAGACTTCTTACCTTTGATATGGATATTTTTGAGTGCATATTTATACAAAATAATGGTTTTCATAACACTATGTCTGTTTTCACCATGGCCCCTAGAGCCACAGCATAATGTTAATTTCTTTCTGTGCATATGTGTGAGTGCATGTTTATGTGTGCATGCACATGTTGTGGTGTGAATGTTCATGAACATGTATGTGTATATGCTTGTGCATGTGGAGGCCAGAGGTCAATATCTGGTGTCTTTCTCATCCTCTTTATGCATATATATGTATATGTATATAAATATACATATATACACACACACACACATGCGGAGTCTCTCATTGAACCTAGAACTCACTGATTTGGCTACATTGGCCAGGCAGCAAGCTCCAGGAACACTTCCGTCTCCACCTTCCCAGGGCTATGGTTACAAGTGTGCCCCACCACGCCTGACTTTTACATAAATGCTAGGGATCCGAATACAGGTCCTCTTGCTTGTGAGCAAGTGAGAAATCGCATCATTTCTTCAGCCCTTGTAATGCTAATTTCTGCCCTTGTTACAAACCATTCAATTATAAACTACCAGAACAAGAGGCCCCGGGTTGTCTGTGTATCTTCCATACCTAATGAAGTGTCTGACACCTGTTAGGAAAAATACTTTGTGTGTTCTGGGCAGCTGATAAACTCTGTGTGTTTGTTATCAGTTATAGTGAGAGGCAGGGAAGAAGAATGCCATGGAGTCGGGTGGGGCACAGGGTTCCATCCTGGGAACTTGACCACAGCAGACTGTGAGTGTTCAACAGTATCAGGGTCCAGCCTTGATGAAATGAGCATGTTCCAGGGTAGGAGCGTGAGGATTAGAATTATTAAGCAGAGGGGACAGAGATATGAGAGAAATAAGAGACAGAAACCCAGAACAGCACCAGGCGGGACACTCAGTGAATACCGAACCTGCCCACGGTTATTTTCCACATGCTTATATACTCCACTCCAAAAGGGGTGGGGGGAGGCAACAGTCTTCATTAACATAATATAAGGAATAGACCAAGTGTCCTGCAGGCAGCTAGCTACTCCCTGGACCGTCCTGCTAATCTCCTTTGAAGGAGCAGGAATAGCAAGGTGGAGTGGATTCACCTCTACACTCAAAATACTAATTAACCACACCCTAGGTCAGGATCTCTTGTTTGTAGCCACACCTGTTGTCAACAACTTAGAAAGAGCAAAAATAAACTCACACTCTTCTGACCTCCAGTCAAGGTGGAACAGGACTCACGTCTGTGGGCCTCCACACAACAGCTGTTTACAAAGACCTGTTGTCACCTCACCCCTTCCTGCCCTCTTGAGAGTGGCAGAAAGATGCAGGGGGCTGGTACAAGGCCACCAGCCCTTGGGGACAGAGGGCAGAATGGCAAGAAATGGAACAGAAAAGTCAATGTCTTTTATAACAAGTCTCTCTCTCCTCCTCCTTCCACCAGGTACATCGTGATCTTCTTCCTCATTGTCACCCAACTGGGCTTCTGTTGTGTGTACATTGTGTTTCTGGCGGACAATTTAAAACAGGTACTTTAGACAAGATGAAAGGGAAGGGGAAGACACAGAAGGAAACTTCTCTACCAGTTGTTCGCCTACATTGCTTCATCTGAGTCCTCAAAAGTTCATCAGTACAACACGGGAAGGGAAAGCCATGCTATCGGGTAGCTTAGCCTCCCACACCCTCCATAAACCTACACATTCTGCATTACCGTGTGTGTGTGTGTGTGTGTGTGTGTGTGTGTGTACATGTCCAGGCCATCTTTGGAGCCCATACTTTTTCTCTTAAAAAGTTTATTATCTCAGGTGTTTTATTATATTATAATATGTTATAATATTTATTTATAGCAATGAAAACCCGGCTCTCATAACTGATTCACATTTTGCCAGGTCCTCAGATTTCAAATAGCTTGAAGCAGTTTATCACTAAGAATGATCATAACATGATCTGAATTCTGCTGCTGAATTTTATTCCCACCAAGTGTTGGGGTTTCAGGTGTCTTCCAGAACGCCTGGTTTACACAATGCTTGAAATCAAATCCAGAACTTTATGTGTGGCCAGTAAGCACTCTACTAGCTAAGCCATCTCTCCGGGCCAACGATGTTATTCTTTATATTATCTTTATTTTATTGTTGGAGGTAGACTCTCATATAGCCCAAGCTAGCCTCAAGCTCACTGTGTAGAGGGTCTTCAGAAAGCAAGCTGCTATCTGGCAAACCTCTATTTATGATCTGTTGCTCATGGTCTGCATTTTTATCTGCTGCCTATTAGGGCGAGCACATGCACTGTCTTGAGGGGTTGCAAGCTAAGTGGGTGGTTCTAAAACACAGTGGTAAATTTCCTTGTGACATCCAGGAGGCAGCTCAGGTGTTGGGAATGTGCACTGTGGTCTAGTAGTATCATTGTGTGGTTCCTGGCATCAGAGAAGGCTTCCTCTAGGAACCATATGTGAGCTGGGCATGCTTGGGCAGCCTTGCAGAGTGGTAGCATCCAAGCTAGGGAGATAGACCTTGAAAACAGATAGGCAAGAAAACGTGGACTGGCCCTAGAGAAGCAATTCTACTGGTTATGGAAGACAATGGTGGTTGCATTGAAGAAAAGTCCTGACCACCGGACAAAGACCTTTTATGGAGGTTTCTGAGTACCTGGCTAATTTTCTTAGTTAGGACTTCTATTGCTGTGAGAGACACCATGACCATGGCAACTCTTTTTTTTTTTTTTAATATACATATGCCTGAAGGCCAGAAGAGGGCATCAGATCTCATTACAGATGGTTGTGAGCCACCATGTGGGTACTGGGAATTGAACTCAGGTCCTCTGGAAGAGCAGTCAGTGCTCCTAACCACTGAGCCATCTTTCCAGCCCGACCATGGAAACTCTTATAAAGGAAAATGTTTAATTGGGGTGACTTAAAATTCAGAGGTTTAGTCCATTTATCATCACAGCAGGATATGGAGCCGTGCAGGCAGACATGGTGCTGGAGAAAGAGCTAAGAGTCCTACATCTTGATCCACAGGCAACAGGAAGTTGAACTGAGCTAGATGTAGCTTGAGCATAGGAGACCTCAAAGCCCGCCCCCACGGTAACACACTTCCTCCAACAAGGAGCTCTAATAGTACCACTCTCTATGAGCTTAAGGCGGCAGTTACATTCAAACTACCACACTAATCATCTGGGGATGTTTCTACTGTAGGAAGGAATCATTAAACAAACAAACAAATAAACAAAAAGGCAAAGGTCAGAGAGCTGGGATGTAGCTCGGTTGGCCAACTGATTGTCTAACATTCCCAAGTCTCTGGGTTCAGTCTCCAGCACCTCACAAATGGGGAAGAGGGAGGCAGGAGGATCAGAAGTTCAAGGTAACTCTTAGCCACATAGTAAGTGGCCAATCTGAGCTATGTGGTGAGATCTTGCCTCACAAAAAAAGGGGGGGGGGCTGGAGAAATGGCTCAGTGGTTAAGAGCACTGACTGCTCTTCCAAAGTTCCTGAGTTCAATTCCCAGCAACCACATGGCAGCTCACAGCCATCTATAAGGAGACCTGGCGCCCCCTTCTGGCCTACGAGCACACATGGAAGGAATGTTGTACACGTAATAAATAAATAAATCTTTTTTTTTTTAAAAAAAAAAAAAACAAGCTAAGAAACTCAATGGCGTGGTGCTTGCTCTGCATGCAGGAGCCCCAGGGTTTCAGCCCAGCAACACACACACACACACATACACACACACACAAAGTAGAGAATTCAAGGGAAAACAACTCATATTTATGTATCCACAATGTGTGCTTCAGTTAAAATAAGGTTTCAAGATAAGAATGGATACAATGATTGCCATCTTACAAAATAAAATGCATCTTCATCGTGTAACTTGTGATGTTGAGCAGAAAATGCGTGGACGAATATATTGGAGAGGACTCCATGCTTCTCCACCAGTGCTGATGTCAGTAACAGCTTTATACTTTCTTCTTACATGATTCTAGATTCCAATTGTTCTGCCATGAATCCTATTATCTGAACAATGGTATTGCTTGTATTAACGTTATGCTGATTTTAAAAGTAGGGTGGACCATTCATCCACCCTGACCTTGTAGGGAAGGGACGTGTATACTGTGTGTTAGGAGGTTGTTTTAGTTCCATTTTTGTTGTTGTGATAAGGTACCTCGACAAAAAGAAACAAAGGAGAATGAGTGTATTTTAGCTCACACCTTCAAGCTACAGTCCATTGTTGTAGGGCAATCAGGATAGCAGAAGCCCAAAGCAGTTGGTCATGTCACATCCACAGTCAAGAGCAGACAGAAATGAATGCTGCATGCCTAGCTCACTTTCTCTGTGACTACACAGTTCTAGGAAATGGTACTGCCCACAGTGGGCTGGGTCTTCCCACATCAGTTAACAACCCAGATAATCCCCCCATGGACATGCCCACCAGCCGACTTGATCTAGACAAATCTTCACTGAGATTCTTCTTGGGTCATTCTAGATTATAGCAAGTTGATAATTAAAACTAACCAGCATTGGAGTCTTCCTTACACCATGTTTGAGGGTGTTAATGGTTTTCACTAAGTATGGTTCAAGGATGCCGTGTTCTTCTGTAAGTGGTCCAGTCCATGCAAAAGAAAAAAAATGAGCCCTGATATTCAAAATGCTAGTACTAATCCAGTCAAAAAAGACATGGCTCGGTGGTCCTGCAGAGGACCTGGGTTCCATTCCCACCGCCCACATGACAGCTCACAACTGTCTGTTAATTCCAGTTCCAGGGATCTGACTCCCTCTTCTGACCTCAGCAGGTACCAGACATGCACATGGTACACAAACATACACATAGGCAAAACACTCATACACATAAAATAATAAACATATCTAACATTTTTTAAAGAGAGAGAGGAGAGAGAGAGAGAGAGAGAGAGAGAGAGAGAGAGAGAGAGAGAGAGAGAGAGGAGAGAGAGAGAGACTGACTAACTCTTTTGGTCAGTTAAGAGCAGTAGCTGATGGGATTTAGGGGTTATGAGTGAAAGAAAGAGACTCTGGGAATTTTTTTTGTTTTGTTTTGTTTTGTTTTGTTTTGTTTTGTTTTGTTTTTCGAGCCTGGGTTTCTCTGTGGTTTTGGAGCCTGTCCTGGAACTAGCTCTTATAGACCAGGCTGGTCTCGAACTCACAGAGATCTGCCTGCCTCTGCCTCCCGAGTGCTGGGATTAAAGGCGGACACCACCACCGCCTGGCGACTCTGGGAAATTTTTAGAGAAAAAAAAAATAAGTGTACTGAAATGATCTAATCTGCCTTACAAAATGGAAGAGAAAGCTAAAACGTGGGTCTCAGAAAAGACCAGAAGCCAGAGCATGGCCTGGGGTAGGGATGCGGGGCGTTACAGAAACCAGAATGAGAGCGTCACCCTTGGGACCCACGGGCAGGGTTTGCTCTCACCTTTCCTAGTCGGTCTTTGTGTCACTTGGCTTGAGATTTCCATCTGTATTTCTGAGCTCAGAGCCTGACTCACAGGCCAGCCCTCCAGCTCTACAATCTACAGTTTTCCCAAGGCTGCATTCCACAGCAAAGAGAGTTCAGTACCATAAGAAAGGACGCCAGGGAGCCAAGCACCAGACCTGACAATAAAGGCAGTTCCCTGTCATTAAACTCACTGTTTTGGTAGCCTCCTTTAAGGTAGTCTGGTGAAGAGGATTTAAAATAAGACATTTCACGATCTGGAGAGACGGCATTTACTGCCAAGCCTGATGACCTGAGGTCAAGCCCAGGCCCCCTATACTGGAAGGAGAGAACCGATTCCTCTAAGGTATCCTCCAACTTCCGTGTGTGCACCATGGCAAGCACGCATGCACACACAAACACATAAATAAATGTAAATTTTTTTTTAAATTAAAACCTAAAGGAAGTTGTCAGTGTCCTGTACTTGCTCGAGATCCTCTGATTCTTTATGAGTCTGATTCTGGGAAAAGCACCGAGTCTACCACATGCTCAAATGTTTCCTTCCTCTTGCTTTCCTGTTTCTTCCTTAGGTAGTAGAAGCTGTTAATGGCACAACCATCAGCTGCCACTACAACGAGACCATAGATCTGACACCCACCATGGATTCACGACTCTACATGCTCGCCTTCCTGCCCATTCTGGGGCTTCTGGTCTTCATTCGGAACCTCCGTGTCCTTACCATCTTCTCCATGTTGGCCAACATCAGCATGTTTGTCAGCTTGGTCATCATTGCCCAGTACATCATCCAGGTTGGTGCATAGCGTCCACTGACTCCCCAGGAGACAGGGCACTGGTATCCACATGAGGTATCAGGTCCCAAGTCCTAGGATGGGTATGCTCCTCACCCTTCAGCCTAGGACCCATCTTGCTGTAATGTTCCCTCTTTGTTCCAGTTCATCTTTTTTTTTTTTTTAGCTGTCTCATTCCTTCTGTGTCTCCAAATGACTGTTTTAAATATCAAATCCAGATTTTTAAAAAGCTATGTGTTCAGGGTTGTGGAGACAGCTCCATTAGGAAACCATTTGCCCCACAAGCATGAAGACCTCAGTTTAGACCCCAGAACCTATTGTGTAAGAGCCAGGGTGCTGTAGAACATGCTTGTGATTCCAACACTGAGTGGGGGAGTTAGAGTAAGCGGAGCAGCAAACAGGAGGATTCCGAAGCTGCCTGACCAGCCAGTCTAGCCAAATTGATGGGCTCCAGGTTTAATGAGAGACCCTGAGTCAAAAATTAAAGGGGAGAGGGACCAATGAAGACCCTTGATATTGACCTTTGGCCTCCACATGCACCCACACATGTGCATGCACACCTGTACACATATGCTACTTCTTCTTTATGTTGGGGCTATTCCAGGAATCTTCGATCATAAAAACAATCCTGTGTTTCTTTTAACATTCTGGACCACGGGCTGAGTAGAGGGTCTACTCCACCTTTTCTGTTCTCCCCTTTAATCTACAGCTCAGGAAGGAAAAAGCAGATTTTCCCATTCAACTAACTATGTTGGGCTCCCTAGGATATTCTATAACTACATTACAATAACCTTCTAAAACTCATGTCCACTCTCCACTCGTAGAGGTTCTTGGGTGCTGTTGGGTGTCACTAATCTGTGATATACACAGTATGCTTTTAGAGACTTCTGGTAAACCCACTCTCTTCACGAGACACAGATCTTCCATGTTTTAACAATACCTGCATGCTCCTGCCCTCTGACTCATTGGTAATGTGCAATATTAAAGTCAATATTTATCGTGTTTACCTCATTCGAAAGGCTTGCTGAACTTTTTGACATTCAGTGTTCTCAAATCCAGCTCTCCTCTCAGAGTCTTTCTTGCTTGGAGGAGCTCAAGTGTGCGCATGGAGTGACAATCTTGTATTTCTCTCTTCTGTAGGGAATCCCAGACCCTAGCCAGTTGCCACTGGTAGCAAGCTGGAAGACCTACCCTCTCTTCTTTGGAACAGCCATTTTCTCATTCGAAAGCATCGGCGTGGTAAGGTTGGGATGAAGGTGGCTTTTCCCTGGACCTGTGAACCAGTTTCTGGGATGGAGCTAAGAGCTCTGGCTTTCCATGTGCTCTTGGCCATTGGGTTAGGCCTGTGGGAATTACCCACATGCACGGGTAAAGCAACCCCTGGTCTCATCTGGATCAGTTGCCACCAGCAGAGGAAAAGTAGGCCATGGCAGAGAAGCAGTGTTTGTCAATGTCTCTATCCAGTGTTTATCTTCTGAGCGATATGAGTTTCCTAGTCTTTTTAAAATCAAGACTAGTCAAACAACAACAACAACAAATAACCAGGTAGTGGTGGTGCATGCCTTTAATCCCAGAGCTCAAGTGGCTAGGAGGATCTCTACGAGTTTGAGGTCAGCTTGGTCTACAGAGCGAGTTCCAGGACAGGCTTCAAAGCTACAGAAAAACCCTGTCTTAAGAACCCTGTCAGAAGAAACCTACTTTGTGGAGTCAGGATTCAGTTCGCCCTTCACCTTTTGAGGTGTCTCTCTTACTGCTTTGGCTGCGCTCGGACCTTCAGGCTACTGGCCTGTGAGCTTTCTGCAAGTTCTCCTGCTCTGCCTCCCATCTCACCTTAGGAGTGCCAAGATTACAGACGTATGCCACCATGCCCAGCTTTCTGTGGGCCTGCCAGATTGTCCTCTGATCTCTGCACACATGTGAAACAAACAAATAAGAAATAAATGTAATGGAAGACTCGAAACCCTCAAACTTCTATAAGAGAATGATGTGCAGGATGGTTAGATACAGCGGTAGGTGCAGGGAATGATTTCTCTGGATAGGACTCCAAAGGCATAGAGAACAAAAGCAAACTGAGAAATGGGGCTTCTCTAACTAAAGAGCATCTGCATGGCAAAGGGAGGAGTGGAGGAGAGACAGCCTTCAGAAAGGGAGGCATGTGCTCACGGGTGAGGGGGCTGACGACACCCGGGATGAGGGCTGACGACACCCGGAATGAGGGCTGACGACACCTGGGATGAGGGCTGACGACACCCGGGATGAGGGCTGACACCAGGATGAAGGCTGACACCCTGAATGAGGGCTGACACTGGGTTGTATAAAGAACCCGGAAAACAACAGCAAAGTAATCCAGCTGCAAAATGGGTGAATGACCCAAGTGGAGACTTCTTCGAGAAAAACTACAAATGACCAACAGGTATATGAGAATCTGCACCTTCTTGTCAGCCATTGGGTGCATCACAGTGAGGGATCTCCTCACCCCTGTCCAAATAGCTGTTGTCCTAAATCAGAAGCGCAAAGACGCCTCTGCAGTTAAGAGCACTGGCTGCTCTTGGAGGGAATCAAGATTCAGCTCCCAGCACCCACATCAGCTTATAACCACAGACACTGCAATGACTGTCAGAATTTTCTTAATTTTAAAACAGATTTATTTATTTTTATTCTAAGTGTATGAGTGTTTTGCCCACACACACACACACACACACACACACACACGCACACGCGCACACACACACATACACCAACAGAGGCCAGAAGAGGGTGTCAGATCACATGGAGTTGGAGTTACAGGTGGTTGTGAGCTGTCTGATCTAGCTGCTGGGAACTGAGTCTGGGTCCCCTACAAGAGCACCAGTGTTCTTAACCACTGAGTCCCCGAATTTTCTTCTTTTTAAAGGCTGTATACTATTCCATTGCATGGATGTACCACATTTTGTTTACTCGTTTTCTAAGGATGGACATTTGTCTACCTCCCACCTTTTGATCATGACTAATATTGACAAGAGCAAGGGCATACAAACACCTTTTCAAGTCCCTTCTTTGACTCATTTATGCACACGTCAGAGGCAGCAGGATTTTCTCTTCTTTGTGCCGTGTCGATGCTGTTACTGCTATGGCTGTTGTTATCCTGCCCCTCACAATGGGATGCTCCTGCAGGTGCTGCCTCTGGAAAACCAGATGAAGGACGCCCGCCGCTTCCCAACCATTCTGTCTCTGGGGATGTCTATCATCACCACCCTGTACATTGCCATCGGGACCTTGGGCTACCTGCGGTTTGGAGATGACATCAAAGCCAGCATCACGCTTAACCTGCCCAACTGCTGGTACCTTCACGGCTCTGGGTGGTCAGGATGGAGAGATGTGTAGACTTGTGTGGCTCTTCCTCTGCCTGTCAGAGCAGGGAGACCCAGGCCTAGAGACACTCCCACTGGGAGGGGTGGAGCCAGCACTGGAACTGTGGGCTACAGAGATGCATCAGCAGCTGCCTCCAGGTTGAGTCAGGTCTTGGTCTCTTAGCATGAAGGCCACACAACTAAAAGGAAAGGACAGCAGTGAGGCAGAGTCCTTGGTCACCTCAGGGGAGAAGAAGGGAGTGCTGGGAGAAAGCATAAGGATTCTATCTGTGGTTCGGAACCTTCTTGTTCCCCTTCCCAGGCTCACGAGTAAGTCTCTGCTGCCACCCCACCACACACACACACACACACACACACGTCAGGGGAACTAGTGTTGAACACTTGAGACAGGGCCATGGAGAAGGTTCAGCAGGTAAGAGAATTGATACACAAGCAGGAGCACCCTGAATCTGATTGCAACACTCCCCCCAAAAGCCAGGCATGTGGCAAGTGCCCATAATTCTAGCACTGGGAAGGTAGAACCAGAAGACCGCACCTCAAGGTTCACTACCTAAGTTGTCGGGCTGAATTGGTGAGCTCCAGGTTCAGTGAGACACCTTGTCTCAAGAAATAAAGCGCAAAGTAACTGAGGAAGGCATCTGACGTCAACCTCTGGCCTCTATATGCAGGTGGCCTATACCCTCACATGCACACAAACAGCACACATGCAACATGCATGCACGCATGCAACACACATGCATGTGTGCACACATACAATACACACACGCGCACACATGCACACATGCAACACTCGCGCAGCACATTGCACACACATGCACACATACGACACACGCATGCACACACACCACACACACACAGAGGAGTTCAGCTCCCTTGAAGCCTCATCATTCCTCCCTGCCCTCAGCTTCAAGCCTGCCATGCTCCTGCTTCTCCTTCCATCTCTCCACACAACCCCACAGCTAATGTCTTTCCCTCTTGTTTATTAAGGACTTGGCAATTCTCCAAACTAGGCAGAGCACTTGTGGAGGGCTCCTGACACACTGAGCACTTGGGGTGCACGGACAATTACTATAGACTCTAGTCACAAAGGACTTTAGACCCCGACTTTAGGACCCTGGCTACTTTCCTGATGAATCTTCCCGGGAGACGTATCTAGCGTCAGCCTATCTATCCTCAGGCCTGACCTGACCACACGTCTTAGAGTGGCCTGTGGAGGCACCATGGGTGCACACGCTCAGGGCGCCTTGCCTCCCATCTTCATGACCCTTCCCTCTGCTGCCATCAGATCCCTGATGCTTCTCTGTTCTCTCCACTCTGGTGAGACTCCTCTGTACTCTGAGAAGGCCCCACACCTTCATCTTCAGAGAAGACACAGACCCAGGGGACTGTCCCTAGATCAGAGGCTGCTGTCCCCAGCCAGCAGGTGTGGGAGTGCCAGGCCGTGGTGAACATGGCTGCATGTCTTGCAGGCTGTACCAGTCAGTCAAGCTCCTGTATGTCGTCGGCATCCTGTGTACCTATGCCCTGCAGTTCTACGTCCCTGCAGAAATCATCGTCCCCCTTGCTGTCTCCCAGGTGTCAAAGCGCTGGAAACTGCCCGTGGACCTGTCCATCCGTCTCGCCATGGTCTGCCTCACATGTGAGTAGAACAGAGTCTCAGGGAGCCTCCCGACCATTTCCTGAGGGTGTGTGTGTGTGTGTGTGTGTGTGTGTGTGTGTGTGTGCGTGTGTGTGTGTTCAGTCATATGTGGACATCCATTTAGAGGCAGAGGACAGCTTAGGTGACATTTTTCAGGCACTACCGCCTTTTGTTTTTAAATATGGCCTCTCACTGGCCTGGAACTCCCCAGTTAGGCTAGGCTACCCAGCCAGCGAGTTCCAGAGATCAGCTTGTCTCTGCCTCCCCAGTGCTGGGGTTACCAGTGTACCCCACCATGCCTGGTTCTTTTTAACCTGTGTTCTGTGATCCACCTCAGGTCCTTGTGCCTGCAGGGTAGACACTTGACTAACAGAGCCATCACCCCAACCTCCACGTAATCCAGTCCTACATGTTCCCTAATTAGACAGGTTGCTGATACCCAGCCAAGGACAGGTTCGCTGATAGCCAGTGTATTATACAGTGACGACAGAGGGGGTGCCAGGCTCTGTGGTAAACCCTCCCTGGTGTATTTCATAATGTTATATTCAGTCCCCATGAGAAGGCTCGTGAAGTAGGACACTGTCACATAACTAGCCGGTGAGTGTTGGGAGCTGGGGGCGTGGCCCAGTTAATAGAGCATTTGCCTGGCATTCATTCATTCATTCATTCATTCCCAGTACCTCATAAAGAGGGTGTGTTGGTGCAGGCCTGTGATCCCAGCACTCTAGAGGTGGAGTCAGGAGGGTCAGGAATTCAGGACCACCCTTGGCCATGTAGCAAGCTTGAAGCCAGGCAGAGTTATGTGAGCTACTTTCTCGATAGTTAATAGTAGCAGTAAAAGGGCCAGTGAGATGACTCCATTGGTAAATAAGACATTAGTTGCCCAGCCCGACAACCTGAGTTCAGTCCCTGGAAGTCACACGGCAGGAGGAGAGCATCACCTCCTAAACGTTGCCCTCAGACTTCTACACATGTGCTGAGACATACTCCACATACATGTATGCAATAAATGGAGTTACATTTAGTAAAAATAATGTTAATGAAGGAAAAATAAACAGGATTCAAACCCAGGTCATGAAAGCCAGCATCTCCCACCTCCAAGGTTGACACTGAAGGTGGGGAACCAGGGAGGATGCTCAGACAATGGGTGCTGTTTGTCCCTGAGGATTTTGTGTAAATTTAGGTCAACATTTAAAACAAGCACGATACCCATGCTCATGCAGGCCACCCTAATTAAATCCACAGGGTCGTCTTTAAAAAGATATCAAAGTGGGGGGTTGTTGAGAAAAAGAGGCCAGGGACAAGTGGAAGGGGGACAAGAGAGGGTAGTGGGGGTGAGTGTGGCCAGCATTCCGTATATACCCACAGGAAATTGTCAAAGTATAAAAAAATAAAAATATGCCCAAAAATCATTTGATGGGGAGAGCAATCAGAACACACACACACACACACACACACACACACACACACACATGAAATAGTAAATCAGAAGACTGTATGATGCTATTAACATTTGAACAGAGGTTGAGTAAAAAGTGTGATCTAAACCTAGTTTACTGACTAGATAGGGCGTTCTGGAAACAAAGCCACTGCTCGCTCTCTCTCTCTCTCTCTCTCTCTCTCTCTCTCTCTCTCTCTCTCTCTCTCTCTCTCTCTCGCCCGCGCACGCACGCACACCCACCCACACCTGTCTGCAAGGCCATCCCAGCAGGAGGCTAACCATTGTCATACTGGAATCAAGAAACCATCTGAACCTGGCCTGCCTTCCGTTTCCTTCGGTTTTGGGGGATGGTGGGTACTGCTAAGACCCCGTGTGTACGAATCAAGCCTGCTTCCTTCATTACCTGCATGTCCAGAGCCATCACTTGGGCTCTCCTGGATTCAAATCACAAAGGAACCTTGTGTTTTCTCTTGATAATCTCTCCATCTTCAGAGCCCCAAACACAGAACCTAAGTGAGCAGAGAAAATCTGCACACCCCCCCCACAACCAAACAATATGAACACACAGTGTTATGGGGAACCCACCAAAGATGACCACTCAGACACAGTAGCCGATTGAAAGCCTTTATTCTAGTCTGCTGGGACTATACTGAGGTATTTGGGGACCCAAATGTAGCCCTGAACACTTAGATCGAGGGGCTTTTAAAGGCAAAGTCCGCATTCTGGGGTCTTGCTCTGGAGCCGAATTGGAGAAGAGAGTTACAGAAGCAGGTAGTTTAACAGAACTTAAGCCAAGTGAGCTGGGGCATCTTGACTTCAGGTTCCTAGAATAGAGTTGGGTTCTCCATCAAGGAAATCAGACTCTAATTAAACCTGGAAGAGCTTCAGCAAGAGCAGGAGATGGAGGAACCTCTGCACTGTCTTACCCTGTCACCCTAGATCTCAACAAGAGGAATGAGAGCAGCAACCATTATACGCCACCCGAGATGAGAGCAGGTGCACTGGGAGCTCTCCACTTTTTTATTTTTTTACACTCATTTATTTATGCATCATTCACATATGCATGTTGACACATGTGTCTAGGTCAGAGGACAACTTTTACCGTGTGTGTCTGGGAATCAAAATCAGATCATCAGACTTAGCAGCAGGTGCCTATACCCACTGAGCCATCTCCATCTCCCATTGGTTTGTCGTTGTTTTGTTTTGTATCCCTGGCTGGCCTGGAATGAATGCACAGATTCACCTGTTTCTGCCTCCCAAGTGCTGGGACTAAAGGCATGTAGCATCACGCCCTGCCTTTTTTTTTTCTCTTGACGTCTTTCTTTCCTTTTCATAAATCTCATAGAGCACAGGTTGGCCTCAAATTAAACTATGTAGCCAAAGAAAACCTCAAGTTCCTGATCCTCCAGCCTTCACCTCCAAAATGCTGGGGTTGTAGGCATGTGTCACCATGGCAACTGGGAATAGATGTCAGGGATAGAACCAGAGCTTCATGCACACTGGGCAGGCATTCTACCAACTGAGATACATCCCCAGCCCTCAGCTTTTATTTGCAAGACTGGCTGTCTGTGGGAGGTTTGGTTTCTTTTAAAGGTGACTTCAGGAACAACCTTTAAAGGCGTTGATGCTAAAGATGAGGTTCTCCATCTGTCCCCCTCCATCTCCCATAGGCATGCTGGCCATCCTCATCCCACGCCTGGACCTGGTCATCTCCCTGGTGGGCTCTGTAAGCAGCAGCGCCCTGGCCCTCATCATCCCACCCCTGCTGGAGATCGCCACCTACTACTCGGAGGGCATGAGCCCCCTGACCATCACCAAGGATGCCCTCATCAGCATCCTGGGCTTTGTGGGCTTCGTGGTTGGGACCTACCAGGCCCTGGATGAATTGATTGAGTCCGGGAACTCTCTCCCTTTCTCCAACTCCACTATGTTTATTCAGTGACAGAGCCTTCCCTCACCCACGGTGACTTATGTGGTTTCACTTCGCCTTTTCTCTGGTCCAAGACATGAAAAATTCGCCAGACACAAGGTGCAGCTGGTCATTTAAAAAAAAAAAAAAAGAGGACAAACCTTGGTCATCCTCTGGTTTTCCACACAGTGGAGAGCTCTTCCGTGGAAGCTTTTAGATTCCGCTCTCCTTTTTTTTTTTTTTTTTTTTTTTTAATCTAATTTCGTACCTTGTGTGGAGCTATGCAAAAAGACACTAGGGGGCAGCAATGACCAGCTTTTGGCAGAAGAAACTCTTCCTGTTCCTTAGTAAAGAGGTCACATCCTTTTCCTGTCAGTGACTAGAAACACACTCACCTCAGCATCAAGATAGAGGGGGCCGAGTCCCATGCTCAGGTAAAAAAGCACCGTCTGTGTTACAGATCAGGGCGTTGAACTTTCTAAACCACTAAAGTTTTAGCCCAACTCAGAAACCCAGCAAGTGAATAAGAAAAAATCAGGGTCAAGCTGATGAGCTAAGAGCACGAGGCAGCAGACACAGACAACACTGGAGGAGGTTTTTATGTCTGAATTCTTGCAACTGCAGTAAACATTCTCAATTGCCTACTGGTCACCAGACATGATTTGCGGTTCTTAGATAATTGCTTGTGTAAAAGTGTTTTAAACACCCTATGACAATGTAATGTCGCAGCTCCAGCCACCAAATGATGGTCTACATGTCACCCCTTGAGTCTTGACCTTGCAACTTGCTTTGACCAACAGTAAATGTTTGGTGAGGGCTTCTACCCTGAGACTGCCATCTCGTTCTGCTCTGTGGAGCTAATTTGCTTTAGGGGTGTGTGTGTGTGTGTGTGTGTGTGTGTGTGTGTGTGTGTGCAGGCATGTGTCCTCAAAGGCCACAGAAGAATATCAGATCTCTTAGAGCTGGAGTTACAGGTGGTTGTGAACAAACTCGAAAGCAGCAAGCACTATTAACCGTTGAGACACCTCTCCAGCCCCTGATATTCTTGTTGAGACCTAACTGGCTATAGCTAAATCTTGGAATGCGTAAAATAAGAAGCCCTGACGTAAGGGACAGATGCAAGCTAGGGCTCATTAGCAATTACCCACATCATCTCAACTACCAGTGAGCATAGCTGAGTGACAGCTCTATTTTCAAGTTGTAGGTATTATCTGTTTACTCAGACCTGTACGTGAGCAAGAATGGACATGTGGCTTTTCCCCACCTCCACTAGAGAACCCTTCCTCCTCTTCCTCCTTTGAGGCAGGATTTTCTTGCTTCATAGCTGTAGCCGAGGCTGTTCTTGAATGCCTAATCTTCTGGCTTCCCTCTCCTGGGATTACAAATTCATGCCACCACACCCAACTCAACTCCCCCTAGTCAAGGACTACAGAAGGCGTGTGTAATCACCCTGAAGACACACCCACAGATGAGGTGTGTTTCCAGAGAGGGTTGACAGAGAGACACACAAACCCCTCTTGGATATGGGCAGCCCCATCCCATGGGCGGGGTTGTGCACTGAATAGAAAGAAAGAATGAAATTAAGTGTGGGCATTTTTCATTCCCCGCTCTCTCTCTCTTTCTCTCTTTCCCTCTCGCCCCCTATCTCTCTCTGTCTGTCTCTCTTTCCCTCCCTTCCCCCTCTGTCTGTCTCTCTGTCTCTTTCTCTCTCTCTCTCTCTCTCTCTCTCTCTCTCTTTCCTACTGTGTGTATGGTGTGTGTGTGTGTGTTTCTTGACTGCAGCATATGACCAGTTGCCTCACGGTCCTGCCACCATGCTATCCCCACCTTGATGAACTGTGTCCTCAAACTGGGAGTCAAAATAATCCCTTCCTTCTTTCCTTAAGTTGCTTCTGTCAGTCATTTGTCCCAGCAGTGAGACCAGCTCCTGAGGTCTGTATACATCGCCATTTCAGTAGAGGATCCAGGCTCGGTTTTCTGAAGACCAACAGAGTGACAAGAGGGGTGTAACCCAGGCGTTGAGTGTCACAGCTCCCGCTGCTCTGCCAGGCCTAAAGAAAGGTCTTTGAACAAAGCGAAAGTGAAAAGTCAAAGAGAAAGTAGAAAAAACATTTCTAGAGAATTACATTGTATTTCTATATTGTGTGTATGTGTCTGTGCATGTGCCTGCGTGTGTGTGTGTGTGTGTGTGTGTGTGTGTGTGTGTGTGTGTGTGTGTGTGTGTGTGAGAGAGAGAGAGAGAGAGAGAGAGAGAGAGAGAGAGAGAGAGAGAGAAAGAGAGTTGTCTGTCTGTGTGTGAACTCAGAGGGCAACTTTGAGAATCTGATTTTGCCTCTCTCCATATGAGTCCCAGAGATTGAACTCAGGTCATCAAAATTCGAGGCAAGTATTTTTACCTACTGATCCTTTTCACTACCCTGTGCACAAGATTTGGTTTTGGAGACAGGGTCTTACTCTGGCTAGCTTGGAACTTTCTGTGTAGACCAGGCTGACCTGAAACTCACAGAGATCAGGTTGCCTCTGTCCCCCACCACCACCCCCTGCACGGCCACGCGCACTCATCTGAAAAGTTTCTGGAAGAGTCCTGGGAACTGCACAGCCCTGTGAATGCACAGTGAACCATGTGCTTGGTGACAATCAATGGTGAGTCGATGGTCTCATACATATACGAGTACCAAATACTCTTTTCCAAAAGCAGAATTGCCACATGGTGTTGGTGGCTGTCTGGGGAGCGGGTGACACATGCCAGCACTTGGACACTCCAGAGAAGACTGTTGACTCTGGGGTGATTTCTACCACCTTTGCCCTCATCCTTCTTATAACCTGAGCACGGCATTGTGACCTGTGACCCTGCCCCTTGGCCTTCTTAACTGAGTGTTTATTGTGTCCTTGTACAACCTGCGCAAGTGCCGATTCCTTAACCCAGAACCACAGGAAAGAGGAAGCCTTCTTCACCACTGATGGGACTGCCAGCTGGTGCTGCCACTGTGAAAATGGGTGTGTTTTGGTTCCTCAAAACAAAAGCAGAAGAGCTTTGTGACCCTGCCAGACTACTCTATTTTTCAATATAATATCTGTATTAATTCCTTGAGAATTTCACACATGTGTACCATGTATTTTGATCATATTCTCCTTTCAGCCCACAACTTAGCTGGGGCTTCTATTGCTGCAAAGAAACACCATGACCCAAGAGCAAGTTGAGGAGGAAAGGGTTTACTTGGCTTACACTTCCACATTATACTCCATCATTGAAGAGAGCCAGACAGGAACTTAAACAGGGCAGGAACCTGGAGGCAGGAGCTGTGCAGAGGCCACAGAGAGGTGCTGCTTGCTGGCTTGCTTTCCATGGTTTGTTCAGCCTGCTTTCTTATAGAACCCAGGATTACTGGGCCAGGGAGGGCCTCACTCACAATGGGTTGAGTCCTCCCCGATCCATCACTAATTAAGCAAATGCCATACAGGCCTGCCTACAACCCAATTTTATGGAGACTTTTTTTTTTAATTGAGGTTCCCTCCTCTCAGATGACTTTAGCCTGTATCACGTTGACATAAAACGATGCAGCATTCCCCCAGTCCTTCCAGATCCACCCTCCCTCTCCACTTCATCCCAGCCTTGCTGCTGCTGCTTTTGTAATTACCCACTGAGTCCAGTTTGTGCCGCCTATACACTCATGGGTGTGTGGTCATCCACTGGGGCTTGTTCATCCTATCAAAGCCACAGCCTTAGGCTGGCTCTTCCTCCCTTAGAAGCCATCAACTGCCAGGAGGTGTGTGTGTGTGTGTGTGTGTGTGTGTGAGAGAGAGAGAGAGAGAGAGAGAGAGAGAGAGAGAGAGAGAGAGTTCCAGGAAGGCTACTAAAGAGACCCTATCTCAAATTTTAACAATAACAATAGCAACAGGAAAATAGTATCCAGAGGGGTTGGCAATATGGCTCAGCAGGTAAAAGTGCTTGCTGACAATCCTTCCGACCTGAGTTTGAACTGCAGGCTGTATGTTTGAATGCTGAAAGGAGAAAACTGACTCTGCAAGCTATCCTGACCTCAAGCACACCGTGACATGTCCCAAATAAACGAATCTTTTTACAAAAAGAAAAAAAGGGAATAAAAAACAACTTCAGAATTCACCCACTTTGTCTCCCTACCATCTTGCTGTAAAATCACTGCTCAATGCACCCTAGGCAGGAGCTCCCTGGGTGATCTCATTGTTAAAACCACAAATGACGGACAGGAGTAGTTGACGGTGGAAAAGGTTTATGTTGGCTTGTGGTTCCAGAGGGCTTTCAACCCATCATGGTGGGAATTGTGGGTATTTGTTTGCTTGTTGAGACAGGGTCTCACTATGCCCAGGCTGCAACTCACTATGTAGACTAGGTTGGTCTCGAACTCACATCGATCCACCTGTCTCTGCCCACTGAGTGTTAGGATTAAAGACTTCTGCTACCATGTCCCAGTCAATCTTTGTGTGTGTGTGTGTGTGTGCTTGCCAAGTAGACTAGGCTGAATAGTGAGCCCCAAGAATTCTCCAGTCTCCACCCCCCCAGCACTGGGACTGCAGGTGTGCACCACCACACACATGGATTCTGAGCACAGAACTCAGGTCCTCCTGCTTGCATGGCTAGTGCCTTACCAACCGAGTGCTCTCTTCAGCTCACAACGGCTTTTCAAAAGTATACGTTTACCTGCTTCCTGATCAGGCGGCCGTCCACGCGGTCCTCCTCTACAGAGGATCTGAGCGGTTGGCATTTGAGCTGACACAAACCATTGTTCACCTCCAGCATGAGTCGCTGGGACAGGTGACACTCTGCATCCTGGGCAGCCGCTTATTGCCTGGACAGCCTCCATTGTGAGGTAGCTGTGGCTTGTTCCCTGCCAGAGGCAACAAACCTTGAGCCTGAGCCCACAGCCAGACGCAAGAACTTCCAGTCTAAAGATCCCTTCCTTCTCCCACTCAGTGTTCCCTGGAGGCCACGGCATCAAGGGCTGAGCTGGGAGACAGGCTGGAAGTCTACAAGTCCTGGCAGGTGTCAGGGCAGTCCTGAAGGGGACCTGTGACCCTGCCCTAGGTGCCTCAGGAGCCTGGAGAGGCACCCTCGGGTCCAGGTTCTCCAGTCGTCACTGTCCTCTGACTCCCACATCCTGGGTTTCACCCAGGGCTGGGAACACCCAGGCATCAGGAGCCAGCATCTGAGACCTGCTGGATGGCTTCTCCTGATGAGAGCCCACTGAGGGCTGGCTCCAGCCTGCTGTAGCTGAGTGCTGTACCTCTGGTACCTGTTCACCATGGTAAAGGCGTCTCTGCTTAGAAAAGACGGCAACTGTGAGTGGAATTTTTTCAGCGTGTCTAAGAACTCCTCACAAAGCAGCAGCAGTAGCAGCGGCAGCCAGAGAACCGTCTCCCCCCGGAAGGACCCTCAAGGGGAAGTCGATGGACTACTGTGAGTGATCACCCTTCCAGGGCAAGTACAGCCGGACCCCAGCTCCAATGGCCCTCCTCATGCTCCCTGGTGACACAGCAAAGCTCCAGAACCTAGGAATGTTGACTGTAGCTCTGGAGAGCTGTCTGGGAATGCCACACTTCCCAATTCTTGCAAAGAACCCAGATAAAGCAGCTGTCCGCAACCTGAGCTGCAGGCCAGAGAACGCATCCCTGACACCAGGAGGGTATTCTCTGTTTCTGGTCTATCCCAGTCCATCACTCCCACAGACATAGATCTTCCTGTAAACAAAGGATCACCCAATTACCCCATGTTCTATTTTTACTGCCCCAAACTCGGACATATAAAAGATTCTCTCTAGACAGAGTCTCACTCTGTAACCCAGACTGGCCTCAAATTTGCAATCCTCCTGCTTCAGCTTCCTGGGTGCTAGGATTACTGTAATGCCTCAGCCCTGATAAGCAATGGTGATATTTTGTATCCAATCCTAAAATGCCATTTATGTAAAACCTATAACTACTTATTTGGTGTGTCTTTGAAAGTATATAGACACTATATACTATAGACAGATATAGATAGAGCTCAGGGCTATAGCCCTTGCCCACTATGCACAAGGACTTGGGTTCTAGAGATGGGGAGAGAAACAGAGAAAGAAAAGTGAAAAATACACACACACACACACACACACACAACACACACACACGCATGGTGGCAACCACGGTTTCTGAGGAAGAGATGTAGTAGGCCAGGAGACAGACAGGAGAGTGAGCAGTTTAAACACACACACACATGCACGCACACACACCTACACACGCACGCACGCACGACAGCAACCATGGTTTCTGAAGAAGAGATGTGAGCAGCTTTATTCACATGGAAAAGAGTAAGTGGCAGGAGATATTTTCCAATAATTGTAGTTGATAAGAAATTACTGTATAGAAAGACTGGTGTCCCAGAATTCTTCTTAATAAACTGTGTAGTGATATTTCATTTATATTTTAATAAATAAAGCTTGCCTGAAGATCAGAGAGTAAAACAGCCCCACTGGTCAAACTTACAGACTAGGTAGTGGTAACACATACTTTTAATCCCAGTAGCCACGCTAGTTGCCATAGAAACTGGGCGGTGCATGCCTGTAATCCCAGCAGTGC